CACTTCTTAATTATTATTTTCACAATTTTTTCTAACAACATGCATCTCCCTTTTTTTTCTTTTTCTTTTTTTTGGAACTGGATTGAAGACCCCTTCATTTGTCCTAATTAACACAGCAAAACATCCCGTTGTTCTTGGCGATAACCACAAACTACATGTGAGTGAACCAAACTGACCACTTTACAATGCAATGATAATTTAATTAAATCACACTCAATTTTTGGCCACTCAGATATCTCTAATTTTTGTCTCACTTAGAGCTTAATTTTAAAAGGCACTCCTAAATGTATAGGGTTCATAGACTCTAGGAACAAGGTGCTTTGTTTCAGCAGCGCCCCCTTTCACAGACACATTTTATTCTAGAAGGTGTATAAATAAATTATAGATCATATATATACCAGCATACAACTATAATGATAATAAATTATAGATCATATCTAAACCTCAATTCCTTTTTTTCATTTCCAATTTAATAATAATATAAATTATTAAATTAAATGTAATGCTTATGTTTAGGTTATAACTTTCTCTATAATATTAGCAATTAACAATTGTAATTGAAATTCTAGAAATACGAAATGGATAAGAGTTGGATGGATTTCTCAAGGGTAAGCGACGAATATCGAAATGGAGTCGAAACTTTTCTAAATTTAGCTTTTATGAATGCAAGCCAAGAGAATATGATTCTTTTCCCTTGTAAGAAGTGTGCTAACATTAATTGGCACATTCATGAAGTTGTGTACGAGCATCTAGTTATTTTTGGATTTGTTCGGTGGTATAGAAAATTGATATCTCATGGAGAGTTTATATCTGAGAGATCTTCTTCCACGAGTTATTCGACTTATCCTGCTACTTCTCACCATCGAACTATTAGAGAAGATGACATGGAAGGGATGTTGCGAGATGCATTTAATATGCACAATCCAAATCAATCTGTTACAGAAAATGATTGTCACAATGATGTTAATGATTTCACTGAGATGAGAAGAAGTGGATGTGCTGAAGAGCCAAATAGAGAAGCGACAAAGTTTTACAAGTTGCTGAATGAAATGAATGAAGAACTTTATGAGGGATGAAAATATTCAAAGCTATCTTTCTGCATTTGTCTTTTCCACTTAAAATGCTTGGGAGGGTGGACTAGTAACTCTTTTACGCAATTGTTGGAGTTTCTATGAAAAATGTTTCCTTTTGCAAAAATCTCTTAATCATGCAAAGATATGAAGAAAATGATAAAAGATTTGGGTCTTGGATATGACAAAATTCATAGTTATCCTAATGATTGTATGTTGTATTGGGGTGATCGAAAAAAAATATGAGTCTTGTCATGTATGCGGAAAATCTCGATGGATGACTAGGGACGCAGAAAATGTGAGTGAGGATGAAGCTCAAGCACTATCAAGAACGAAACTTGTAAAGATTCTGCGATATTTTCCTCTCATACCTAGGCTACAAAGACTGTCTATGTCCTCCAAGACTGATGAGTCTATGAGGTGACATCATGATGGAAGAACCGATGAAGGATTATTACGGCATCCTGCGGATTCTTTAGCTTGGAAGTCATTTGACAATAACTATCCAAGTTTTGTGAGAGATCCTCAAAATAATTATTTACTTTATTATTAGGAAAAATTGACGAATAAAAGGGTGGAGTATGAAGCTACGGCTTCAAATCATGGTCTTGTTAATGCGAATGACATCAAAAATCAAGTTATTAATGATGTTTTGGGTCCTGAAAGATATGGTCGGGTTCGGTGTCAAGGATCATTCATTACTCCCACCAAATATTTTGAATCCAACTCATCTCAGTACATGTCATCACAATCTCAGTCTTCTCAATTAGAAGTTAGTCGTTTAAAACAACAGTTGGTTGAAATTGATCAAAAAATGGCTAACATGAAAGCCGAAAATTAAGACTGTGATGTAACTCAAATAACTCAAATTGTCTTGTGCAATGCTCCACTGACCAAGTCTCACATCTTGTGCAACCATTAGATTTCTTTGAAACATGTGATGTAACTTGGTCAGTGGAGCATTGCATAAGACAATTTGAGTTATTAAAGTTGATGAGTTTATAATATTCAAATTAACTCGAGTTGTTTAAGTTTCTATATACATTTAATTGTAATTATTTATAATATTATGGTACAAATCAATTCTAATTTATCTACTTTCTCAAACCATATGAGATATACATATATATTTCTTAATATTCTTTTTCACGTTGTAATATTGTTTAATAAATAAAAAACAATCTAAAATTCTAAAGGATATTTATAATATTATTTTTCAAAGAAGATATTTTGAGGATAAAATGTTGATGAGAATATGAAGTCAAGGAATTGATGGGAAGAAAAACAATTGCAAAAACAAATGTAGTCAAAAGACCAAATAGAATAAAATGCAAAGTTAGGAGATTAAATTAAAAAAGAATAATTTTTAGTTAAAATGAGAATTGGAATTACATATGTATTTTATGGTGGTAGATGAACATGTGATTCAAATTTGGTAGGAATGGACTTAAAGTGAAGGATGAATTGAAAAAAAAGAGGAAATCATCCAAAGTTGAGGGATTCAATTAAAAAAAATTATCAACAAGATTAATTGAAGATACATAGGTATTTTAAAATGGTTTAAGAGCATGCGGTTCAAATTTGATAAAAATTGGACTTAAAATGAAGGAGGAGTCGAAGGAATTAGGGAATCATGCAAAGTTAAAGGACTAAATTGAAAAAATAAAAATTGTTATAAAAAGTGGAGTTGAAAATACATAGGTATTATAAAATGGTTTAGGAGCATGTAGTTCAAATTTGGTAAAAATGAAACTTAAAATGAAGGAGAAATTGAAAGAATTAGAAAATCATGGACCAAATCGCAAAACCCTCAAAATACTCAACTAAAAATCTGGTTTTTCGTGTAGCTCGAAAATTTTCAAATTCCTAACTCAACTTGAAAACCAATTTAAAAATTCGAGTTGACTCGAATAATTCAAAATTTAAAAAAAAAATCATTTTTTCAAGACCAATCAAATTTTACTTGCCCTTATCCTAAGCCTCCCTGTTGCTCTAAAAATTTATAAATAAAAACATTGATAAAAATTTTAACACATTTCTTGTTTGGTTCAGTGCTCACCAAACCCTTTTGTAAGGGGTCTCGGATTCAATTCTTCCTGGTAAAAATTTTGCATATTTTTAAAATGCAAGGATAATATTTGTTTAAACACTTTCAGCAAGTTTACAATGAATACTCATAACTATGCATATGGTATTCGAACCCAATACCTCAAGAGATATAACAAATACCTTAACCATCGAATTTGCTTGGTTCATACTAATTTTAGTAGGATTTTAACATTTTCTTTATTTTGTTCAGTGATTAAGCTCTATATATCTTGGTAAATACCGAGAGAGAGAGAAAATGACATGATAAATCGAGAAGAAAAATCATGTCACAGTAGACGTTAAATATTTTAATGAATGGTGATTAAAATAGAAAAATACATAATATTGGAGATTTTTGTTCAACAAAAAAATAGTTCATTGATGAAAATGAGAACACGAAAATAATTTAGTGACTATCACTGTAGTCTACCCTTAAATTTAACTACGTCAGTGGTGATGGAAAAACTACCGTCACTGGTGATGGAAAGACGCAGGATAAAGAATTGTTGACGTAACACTTGAAACTTCAAAGCTGTGTATATCTAAAACGATACTTTATATTTTTTAATGATTTGATTAATATTATTTATTACTTTTCAGTGCATTAACAATTACGATTCTCACTGTTTAGTCATGAGTAACGACAAATGCATAGGAAAAACAATGATCAGACTATATTCTAATGCTCTTAGAGATTTTTTTCAAATAATAATAATGCTTTAGAGATAATTTGCATGAAATAAGGCCAACTTTGATACTTATTTTCAGGGATGTAGCTAAGGAGTTTGCAGATTTCATGGTCCACATTAAAAAATTTCAATTTATTTCTGACGTTTTAGAATATCTAATGAAGAAAAGGGTTATTCATGTTCAACTCCCTCTAAAATCTAGCTCTTTCTCAATCCTTTGCGTCTCTATAAAAATGAATTTTTATGTTTAACCCCCTAAATAATCAAATCTGTTATAATATATATATGCACGAGTTTGAAGATATTTATTAATTGGCGAGAATACTTTTTATTTTTTAGGTAAAATATACAAATGATCTCCTAATTATAAGATATTGCAAACACATACATACTCCCTAAGATACTGCAAATGGTCCTCTAATTTTTAGGTAGAGTATTCCCTAATCATTGATAACACTAACATACTCTGCAAATATAATTGCTCGAACTCATAATCTCAGAAAAAAAACATATTCCCTTTAATCACTAAACTCTCTTAAAAATGAAATCTCACAACCTAAAAATTTCGAACTTTACTCATAAGTCGAGCTCTAAATATTAATCTTATTGATATCTAATATCTGACTAATTCAGATCAAGTTTTAGAAAGATTCATTATGTGAATGACTCGTCTAACCTAAATTACGTCATTCGTAATGTTTAGAATTTAAAATTTTAACTTTACTTAAAAAAATTAATTAATCATTCCAGTGAACACTTAAACATTTAATCTCACATCCTCCATATTTATTAACAATGGAAACGTGGAGGATGATGAGAATGAGACATTATTTATGGGTAGCGGTCAAAGTCAAAGTTCCATGGAGATGAAACCATGGGTCCAGTCAAAGAAACCCACTATGTTCTTGAATAATTTTCAAAATGACCAAACCCAAAATAGAACAGGACAGTCAACGACTCCCATGAGAAAAGCTTAAAGCTTTGAATCTTTGATCTTTGAACATTATAAAGGCATGTAGCTCGCATGGTTGTTACAAAGTCAATATAACATTAAAAATTATAACTATTTTCTTCGCCTCTGCTCTCTCTCTATCCCTTATCTTCTTCCTCTTTGCTTTATCCCCAAGTTTTGATTTTGGATTGGTTTAGAAACTTCCATAGCCGTGATTGCTTTTCTTGTGTTCTTTTTCTCTGTTTCTTCTCATGATCCAATTCCAACCCTGTTGACAAATTTCTCATTGAATAAAGGAATCTCTCTGGTTTTCTTTGGATTCTTCTTCAAGTGTTTTCTTCTGGGTTTAAAGGTTGCAGTTTTCATCAAGGAAAAAAGAAGAAACAGCAGGAGGTTGAATGAAATGGAAGGATCGCAGGGAAGTAGTAATGGGCCGCCGCCGTTTCTGATAAAAACGTACGAGATGGTGGATGATCAGGTGACCAACTCCTTGGTGTCTTGGAGTGGAAGTGGTTACAGTTTCATTGTCTGGAACCCGCCGGATTTTGCAAGAGATTTGCTTCCGACATATTTCAAGCACAACAACTTCTCCAGTTTTGTCCGACAGCTCAACACTTATGTAATGTTTCTTCACTTCATTTCTGTTTTCTGTCCCAATTTCAAGCACAATAACTAGACATTGATGATGTTTTTTCGTCATGGTACCATGTCATGTTGCAAGAATTGTTGAAGAAAGAACAAAAATTGGATGGTCATACATATACATACACATACATATAATTGATTGACGGTTGCTATTCCTGTTTTGATTAGGGATTCAGAAAGATAGATCCTGATCAATGGGAGTTTGCAAACGAGGAATTCATAAGAGGGAAGAAACATCTTCTCAAGAACATTTATCGACGCAAGCCGATTCACAGCCATTCCACGAATCGCCATGGGAACTCTGGTGTGCCATTACCTGAGAAAGAGAAGAAGGAATTTGAAGAAGCGATCAAGAGGTTGAATGACGATAAGAGCCGACTTCAGTTGCAGTTGGAGGGTCATCAAAGAGAGAATCAGGAATTTCGGGTTCAGGTACGGCTGTTATCGGATCGGTTTCGGAACATGGAAGACCGACAACGACGGTTGATGGCCTCATTTTCTCATGTTATAGACAATCCCAATTTTATGTCACAATCTCATAGCAAAAAGAGGAAGTTGATGAATGTGCATGACTTGAATGATGGTTTCAACAGAGAAGGACATCATCACAGTTTGGCTTCTCAGAAGGCAGACTCGGGAATGAACTTGAAACAGATTGAAGAGCTGGAATTATCTATAAGTTTTTTGGAAACATTGTTCCTTGGAATCGGAACGTCGTCACCACGGCCTTCTCCTATTGTTATTACCGAAATACCGAGCTCTTCGGGAGACTACGACATGGATGGTGAACTATGCTCGCCTTCATCACACCCTTGCTCCCCTTATTCAACAGACATTAACTCATCCCCTGAGCTGGCTGCCTCTGCTTATTATCCTCTTCCACCATCTTCTGCTTTTGGTCCAAAGTCGGAGCATGCTAGTCGACCAGAGACCGATGGTGCCTTGAAGAACAAGGTAGAAGCGGTGACGGTGGATTATTCGGTGCCAGGTGCCGTAAACGATGTTTTCTGGGAACGGTTTCTGACCGAAGTACCGGATACATCATCATTTGCACAAGAGATCCAGTCAGTTTAGGTTAGCTCATAGATCATATGGCATATGGAGTTTTCATTATAAAATATGGTTTGGTTGTGGAGGACAATATTTTTTTTGGTGTAAGTTGTTTTTGTTAGTTAGTTTAGCAACAACTTTCACTTTGAAATCAGAGTCTTCTCTAGGGACGAGGAAATGAGACGAGATAAGCTATTTGAGATTAACTTAGTTAAAGTTCGATAGATACTTGATTCGAATGAATTTAATTTTTGTTCTTAACGAATCAAAACAAACTGCTTAACACTCGACTTGGAAAACTCGCGAGGAACTAAAAAAATAATAAATAATTAAAAAAAAATTAAATTATCAACAATATTAATATTTATGTGTTGATTTTTTTTAAAATACAATATAAGGTTTCATGCACTTAAGGTTCAGGTTCGAGTTTGAGCTTCAACTGAGTTAAGTTTAAGATTTTTTTTTATTTCTAGTTTTTTTTAGCTTCAATTCATGGTTTTAAGTTCGAGTTGAGTTTGAAAATTTTAGGCTCGTGAGTTTTTGAGCCGAATCGAGTTCTATTTTAAAATTTTCATATCGAATTAAACTCAACAATATTCGAGTTCGACTTGACTTGTTAACAATCCTAATCTTCCCATTTAGTAGTGCAGATGTATGATGCTGGAGTGTCGACTAAAATTAGTCTGGGCATGGCATAACGAGTTTTTACATACATGTTAATTAGGCTGAAAACGATCAAATTATTCTACACCAAAACTAATATATTAATTTAAATGTATTATAAAAAGAGAGAAAATTTGAATCTATCAAACCGTTTGGGTATTAAAAAACGAAAATTTAAATTTAAACAGTTACGTTTGCAGAGTGTATACGTCAGTTACTATTAAATCGGAACTAGATACATGTTAACATATTGAATTCTTTAATTAATCATATGTTAAACACATAATTTTTTTATTTTAATGATATTTCAAATTAAAAATATTAAAAAAATAATCAGAGGTGATAAACATATTATTTGGATCGGGTTCGGATCAGATTCGGATATGATCAAGTCTATATTCTATTCAAATTAATTTGGGTAGAATCAGTCTAATTTGAAATTATTTTGAGCTTATAGTGAGCCTCGTGGAATCGGATATTAAAATGAGATTTAGTTTTTGCTTAACATTATCATGTAATTACTTTACTAAGCCAAAATAAATGAAATGAATATTAAAATGTTCCAATAATATGAAACCATAGAATGTAGAATCTGAAAATCGAATGCACATGTGACAAAAAATAACCAATAATTCTATGTGTCCATGTTAAATCGATAATTAAAATAGAGAGTTTAAATAAAAGAATATGTCGATTTTAAGTTGTGATAAAGTTAATTGTCAATGTGTAATCATTGTTATTTTCATCGATTTTAAGTGAATTTCGTGAAAATTAATCTAGAGAGAAAAGGTGAGTGAAATAATTTTGATATCGATCTTACCATAAAATAAGATCGATGACGGGTGATGCTTGGCTGCATGCAGCAATCGAAAAGTACGGTGTTAAGAAAGAAAATTATTTAAAAGTTCAGTTGAAAAAATGATACACTCTTAGAGTTTAATGTTTAAAATGATATCATTTTAAACATTAGAACCATCACACCAAAACGACTTCATTTTTTGATGTAGCATGACACGTAAAGAACTATTAGCCGTGTCAATAACCTATTATTAAACTTAAACTGTTAGTCACATCTGCATCAAAATTTTTAAAAGACTTGATTGATAAGATATTGATATTTAAAAGACTCAATTAAATTTTTTTAAAGATTAAAGATCAAATTAAAATCTGGAGTATAATTGTAGAGATGTATGATGGAATTATCCATTATAGAAAGGAAGCCAGATGTTTGTGCCTTATGAATCTTACGTTTCGAGTCAAACCAGAAACCAACAACAGACAACAACGCTGGTCCCGATGCCATCATCAACTTTATTTGATCCTTAATTCATCACCATATCAGATCTCTTTATGTTTCCATTGTTTCTCTTTTTATTAATATTCTGAAGATCTTCTCTTTCTCATTCTCCTTCACTTCTGGATCTCATCAACACTTGATCAGGTCTCTCCAATGTCATTTTTTTTTGTAAATTGTAATTTGTATTTGATTATGCCATTGTTGAATTTCATTGAGCTTCTTATGGATTTGATTCTGCGCTTTTTGTTCTTCAATTTATGTAAGTACATTTTTTTCTCCGATTCCAATTGGTAGTTTGTTTATTGAGTTTTTCTTTTTCGTTCATTCAGTTGAAAGTTCTTAAAATTTATTGTATTGGATAATAGAAGAGATGGGGAGGTTTTTGTTTTTGCTCGGGAGGAGGGAGTTGTTTATTTATTTATATTTTCTAATGCGTTGATTTAATGCTGTGAATGATATCGAATTTTCATTCTGAAAATTAAGAGGGGGCTGTTGAGTGTTGATGATGGAAATAAGAATTTTCACTATTGGGTATTTTCTTCACCTTTTCCCCCCTTATAAATGTAGCTGTGTCGTACTCTAGTTTTTCTGTTATAATTCATTCCAATAGGCGTCATCTGGGGTCTTTGGTTGATCTAAAATAAGCAGAGTGGCAGAAGCCTTTTACTGTATTTGGTTGGTCAGAAGCCTTTTACTGTATTTGGTTGGTTCTTAGTTTTTTCGATGTCCGCAATATCGTTACCACTATAGTTGCATAATTGATCTGGAAAGAAGGCACTGATTGGACATTTTTGAGTTGTGTTCTAATGCAGTCCATAGATGGCTCTAACTTAGAATTACGAAGGAGATGGTAGAGAGTAGTTCTGATAAGAACACATTTCAATGCACTGGGATAATTGATACTCATAGTGGGTTAGGTCTTCACAGAGACCCTCCTCTCTCTGGTTTGATGAAGATGGGACAATTCATTTGGAACCCTGTTCAGTGAATACTGATTCAACTGTGGAAGACTTTGATTTTGTGTTGCCTATGCTTAATCAGAGTGAGTCACAAAACAGGTTTGTAGTAGGGGTTAGATACAATAAATTTCCAGAGAAAAGTATGCACTTGAATGGTGGTAGTACCGTGGAAGAGATACAAGAAGATAGTGCCGGGACGTATGCACCTTTTGATATTGAAAACGAGTCTCCTGTGCATAGAAGATCATCAAATGTTTGTGCTGATGGAGCCAGTGATACCGGCACTCCAAGATCATTGCCACTGAATTTTAACAGCCTTGTTTCTGCTGTGGATGTATTGAAGACTTTGTTCTTTATACTTGTATGGTACACTTTCAGCACATTTTTGTCTTTGTAAGTCCATCTTATATTAACCAGAGAAGCATTGTAGCTAAAATTAAGATCATATGTTTAAAACCTTTTTCATTTTTCCTCTTACAATTTTTCTTGAGTAGGTACAACAAAACCTTGTTGGGTGATGACCTGGGGAAGTTTCCGGCTCCCTTGTTGATGAATACAGTCCACTTCACCATGCAAGCTGTTTTATCAAAGCTAATTACATGGTATTGGTCTCATAGATTTCTCCATACCGATCCAATGACATGGAGGGATTACTTCTACAAAGGTAATTCATCAAGCATATGGTCTTTTCTGCCTCATTATAATGTGAATTAGATCTTGCATGTGGTTGATGGAATCATGGAATTAACTTGTAAATATTATGTTCAATGTTACATCATTATCTCATACCTAGATGGATAGTTGCACTTAGATTTAGAGTTTTAAAATCCTGATCTTATGTTCTATGTTTTTTCAAATCTGTGTGTTTCTCTGTAATTTATTAACTTTTCTATCAACTAATGTACAGATGGACTTTGCCTTTCACAGTTGTACCTACCGCTCTTTCAACAGCACTGGACGTTAACCTGAGCAACGCATCACTGGTTTTCATATCTGTTACTTTTGCCACAATGGTTTGTTAACTTTTCTATACTCTATACTGTGATCGATATTTAATCTCGTCCTGATTAAATTACTTCCTCCAAATCTGTGAATATGCCTTTTCATTTTTCTTTTCTGGGTTGTGTTGTTGACTAAAATATTTCTCATTTTGCGCCTACAGTGTAAATCTGCCACTCCTATTTTTCTTCTCCTATTCGCTTTTGCATTCAGGTGAGTTTTCAAATCGATTTCATGTTGATTGTAGTTTGGATGGTGATGAATAATTTTTTGTAAGTCTAAAAATTTAGGGATGATACCCTCTTCTTTAAATTTATAACTAAAAAAATTGTGGTTTATACTTTCTAGAATCTTGAAACCATGTTTTTTTAGGTATCTATTAGATGATGATCTATTTAGTTCATCTTTTTTTCTTAATGCTTCTTCTTCTTTTTATTTTTTTCCCTTTTATGGTTGTATTAATATTGTTTACTCAGTGAGGGTTGAATGAATCACTTTAGGATTGTTTGATTGGACATTTATGAACAATAACACCTATATATTATAAATTCTTCTATCAAAACGTATCTATATTTGTTTGAATAAAGTGATTGGCCAATTCCATGTGTCTAAGCAAAATCAATAAGAATTCTCAAATTTATATCAACTAATTATTCTTGAATAACACCTGCTTCAGCATAAATTTCTTCATTTTGAAATGTATCGAAACCTTGGGTAGTAAAAGAAGGTGGGATATTGTATTTCCAGGATTGAATTCATGGAAATTAAATGAAAGCAGTGTCATAAAAAACATAAGAAAAGAGAAAAAGAAGCTTAGTTTGTAACTGGTTTGGGGCTTTGGGCCCTTAGGAACCAACTCTATGAGGAACCTGTCTCGGGAGTCATTGGACTTTGCCTTTAATCAACCTTATGAATTGGGTCATGATTTTCATGCTGAATTATATGGTATGGTTAGGCTTACTATACAGGATGAGTCATCGTCAGGTTCCTTTTTCCTTCATGATCTGCTGGGAGGGGTGGCTTGAGATGTATTATGAGATCAAAATTGTAAATCAATTTTACCTAAATTTACATTAGAATTAGAACCAATATGATCTCAGCTATATTGGTTTTTGTCTTAATTTCAAACAAATTGGGGTCTTCTACTTGAAAGTTGAAACTTGAAACCGTGTTATCAGTTTTTTTTCTGGAAGGCATTATCAT